ACCTGTCAGCGCTTTGGAGCAGAAAGCCCTATCCTCCCTTCTGCTCACCGGGCATGCTAGTAGCATCCAGCAGATGCGAGCTCGCAAAAAGTGCTGTTTGTCAAGGGCTAGGTTGGGTGTGCACAAGTCACTTCAGTGTACAAGTGCAGAGTGGATGCGGTGTCTTAGTCTTTAACGACGGGCAGTTCTTGCTGCACTCCGTCTTTTGGAGGCTGGCTGTGACAAGAGCAGCAGTTAGGTGGTTTACTACACCACTTTGTGACGGCGGGTGTGCCACGGCATGCATTGATTTAAATATGTTAGAAATAACGTCTCTACTCGTTCCTAGGATTCTGTGGAAGAAAAATGAAGTGGCAGACTATGAAGCGACAACTTTTTCCATCTTCTACAACAATACCCTCTTTCTGGTCTTGGTCATCATTGCTTCATTTTTTGTGCTGAAGAACTTCAACCCCACCGTGTATCCTTTGTTACCACGCTTGGGACAACCAGAGGCCTATTCCTGCTTGCTGTAGTAGCTATATTTGTCACATGGGTTGTGAGAGTTGATGTGTGCAGTTCATTGTCATATTTTGACTTAGAAACACTGCAACGTAAAAATAGAGGATGCGGAAAAATAATCTCCCAATCCCATGAAAGTTTCACATCTGCTGAGATGTTTTAGGGATATTGCTTGGACAGCATACGGAAATTCTTACAACTTTGCTGTTTCAGTTGTAATTATGGAATGAGGACGCAGCTCCTGTTAGTAGCCACGGCTCTTAGGTGGCAGGATTGTTTCGTTTCAGTAATGTTACAAGTCAATTTTGTCGTTACTTAAGTAAATAAGCACTGCCAATCAGGGCCACGAATGTTAATTAAAGATCTGCAGTTATAAATGCAGTTAACCAGTTCTAAGTGAACGGGCTAAACTTTAGGGGTGTCTGAATTTTGAAGTTAAGTACATTTCAGTGTCCTGCTGACCCTTGACTGTAGGCTGTGCTCCAGGTTACAATGTTGGAATTTGAAAACTCCTATGGGGGAAGACCCATTTCGATCCCTTGTTTTTCTTAAAGCTTCTACTAAATGTTTTGTATGAAAGAGGCAGTATCTGTACCTGTATTTGTCCTTAACCTTTTCCCTCCAGAAACTACATTCTTTCCATAAGTGCTTCATCTGGACTGATTGCCCTGCTATCCACAGGATCCAAGTAGAGCAAAAAAGGAACCCCACACCGATTTATTGCTGTGGAGGGGGTCAGCTGCCATACAGAGGTTTAAGGGTGGAATAGAAATACATTTTTTCCTTATAGTCTGACTGCTTGAGGGTATGGGGGGAGGGTTTGAGTCCCAAATGGGTGAATTATATTTACTTTTGGTATCTTTACATGGTATTATTCAATAACTGAGTTAATTTTTTTACTTAGCAATGCAAAAGGAAAGGGTATGTGAGCAGGTGCCGACCGTAACCTTCCTGAAGCCCTGCGTGGGTGCGATGTCCAGCTGCCTGTAGTACCAAGTGCTCCGTAGGGGGTGCTGCTCGGCAGCACAAACGGCCGTACTTCCAGCCTGTAACAGGATTCCCCTGCAAATTTGGTGACTGGTGTAAGAGCCAAACTCACTGACTGTAAAAAGTGACAATCCACCGTTTATCATGCTAACTTGAAAAGTTTTAATAAAAAGGAAGCTTTTTTGTCATTTAATTTCTTGTATTTCTATTCTTGATTTTTTAAAAAACGGGTATTTTCATGGGCAAGGAGCATGTAGGCTTGACAGCTCTGCTCCCGGAAGAGAGGGGTCTTCTACAAGTCAGCATATGTACTGTTTTCACTGGAAATACTCCTCATTTTTAAGTCACTTGGACTCAGGACAAAGGCTAAACTTCATAGGAAAATGCTTCTGAGGGGGTTTGAATGTACTTTTTTCCCCCGTTCATCTCTAAAATCGTAAAGAAACCCCCAAACTGCCATTTTTACCAAACTACCTGGATTAACGAAAACGCTTCAGATGGCTTTTTACACTGGGTTTATCAGACAACCCTTCTCCATGCTGTCAGTAGAGCAGTTACTGTGTAACTAAACTCCACTGCTCCGAGAGGAATTCTGCTGTAGAAGTTAGAGATGCTGCCATTACAGACTTGGAACCCTAAACAGGGAAGAAAGAGAAACCTTATAATTAGATTTAATGTACCAATTACTTTGCTAATCTCCACTAGGATTTGTATTTAGGTAAAACACAGGGCAATGAAGATTCTGAAGCACGGGAGGCAGCGTATCTGGCTTGCCCTAGGGTGTGCTGAGTTTGTAATGTCTCTGACAAACACAACCAGGACAGTCTCTCAGAACTATTCCCTAATTACCTCCTGCCCGCTGACTGTTACGAGACTTCACAGCATCCTTTGGGATTGGGGGTTGGATGGGGGTCTTCAGTCTCAACTCTCCACTCCATGATGTACCTTTACTTGTCTTCCCAGTAAAAATAGTACTATTTGTGTGTTTACATCAAAAAAACTCCAGTGGTTTTGTGGCGCTGTAGAGCTGCCGTTGAAATCACTTTGGTTGGTCGTTTAACGCTCTTGAAATTACCTTGTTTTCCTTCAAAATATGTCATTTTTCGTTCTCTCTTCTGCCAGCTTGTTCACTAATGAAAGGAGACTTTCCCCATTGCTGATGCCTGCTTTGGGTAATTTTGCGTTCCTTGGCCTCTCAGGGTAAAGGACCTAATTTCTGTGTAATTTAGTCTTAAGTATTTAGCCCATGTAAAACAAGTTTCTACCAAGCTTCGATAAACGGTCAGGATCAAAGGGGAGGCGGGGTTGGCTGCCCTGCAAGCACCCAGTACTGAAATTCCAATGTGTGAACAGGCAGCGCTAGCAGCCTCGCGTTACCTGTCAGCGTCGGCGGGGAGAACGCTGCCCTGGCAGGTGTTTCAGAAGGTGGCAGGCGTATTTTCTGGGAAATCTGCCCTCTGAAGTGATTTGAAGCAGCACTTTCCTGTCGTTTCGCCGAGGCTGTTCATCCTACCCTAGTTCCCTGGTGTTGGCGGTTGCCGAGGGCTGGGGCATCCTGTGTGTCCGAACCTTGTGGGGAGAGAGCTGGTGGGCACTGACAGCCTGAAACAAAAGCTTCTTGTAGTCTTGTTCTGTGGACTTGGCAGAAAAGTTTGGGGCGTTCATTCTTTGGAATTTGTTTGGTTTTGGGGTTTTTCGGGGGGGAGGGTGTTTGGTTTTTTCCCTTGCAGTCCCCACCAGACGCTGCACCCCGTTTCCTCAGTCTAATGCTGAAGGTAGGCTGCTGCTTGGCATCCCATCACCCTCAGAGCGTTAGGCAAGCTGACTTTTAGGTGTTTCCTAAGTAAGGCACAGCACCATCGCCCCTTCAGTTAAAAAAAGGTTGGGAATTGATATATATTTACTATGTTGTTGGATTCCCATGTATCTTTAAGAGAGAACGTTAAATTACATTAACACTTCCAGAGGCAGAAAAGGAACTAGTCTGCCACTGGGAAAAAAACCCTGTTAAAATAATAATGCTGTTAGCTCTATACTGGTTGAAGCTTTTGTGCTTCAGATTTTAAAATACTTAAATGGTTATGTTTCACAGCTAAAATAACTGCAGCATTAGGGATGTGGCCTGGAGCACTGAAGGTAACACGGGGGGGTCTGTGTGGGAGAGAGAAGTGGCGATCCCCACCTCGGCTGGCAGTGCCTGAGCAGCCCGGTCTCGGAGAGGCTGGTGACTGGGCTGCAGTGGGATTGCAGCAAACTGCCCGTAGGACATTCCCGCTGGGTTGATTTCGGGCTGAAACGTTAAATACGATTGATGTCTGCCCGAGGAGACTAACCTCTGGAAGTGTCTTCTCCGAGATGCGCAGCTGAACCTTGGCTCCCCAGCCGCACCCACTGCTCCAGCCCGAGGTTTTTGTCCCTCGCCCGTCCCGGGTAGAGCTGAGGGTTAGCAGATCTCCGTGGAACGATACATTCCCGTTTCCAACGTAACCCGGCGCTGTTTCAGGCTCAGTAACAGGTCTCTACGTATGAAATTAGATGCACACAATGCTTTTATTGTGTCCAAGCAGGAGTCAGAGTCAGACTGGAGTTCTGGATATACAGCAGCTAAGTTTGTTTACACATACCATAGCTCGTTGGGTTCAATACAGGAGAAGACGACTGGGGTGTTGCAGTCTGTTCACGTGGCCCGCTGAACACTGCGCACGCTCCGCAGGTCTCCTGCGGTTAAGGGGACTGGAATACAAGGGTCCTACAAATACTGTACATAGCTGTACCCCCTCGGAAGTGTGTGCCCAGAGTACGTGGTTCAGTACGACTGAGGAGTGCGACCTACCGAACCCGCAGGAGCATTGTACAAAGCAAACGCGTGGTGAAACGGGACGTGGTCCTCGAGATGAGCAACTTAATACGTAAGAGCTTACTGCCGACCCCTGTAGAGGGATGAAATGCTCACCAAAATAATACCCTACCTGTTCAAAATGGGTCTTAAACATACTATGCGATTACTTATGCCCGATTCCAGAACAAGCTAAAGCAGATGTGACCCTCCACCGAAGTACATACCTGATGTTTCTCTGGTGGTTTTCAGCAGCTGTGTATTATATATACGTATCTATATCCTTAAAAGCTCATGAATATTGAGGTTTGCGATAGCTGTGTCTACAAGCAGGCAGAAGTAGAGGCAGGTTGCTGTAGATGCAAATTATTTTATCATGGCTTTCTTGGTTTAAGGTTTACTTCTGCGAACAGCCGTTGTTATTAAGGTGGCATGCGTGTTTGGGTGTTCTAACTGTGCTCTTCCCGCTTGTACTCCGAAATACTTCCCAGGAGCACTCCCCAGCTGAAATAATGGTATAGTTAGGAGTTGAGCTATCTAAGTTCTAACTAATTTTCTGTCTTACATCCTCTATTCAACCACAAACAAAATCTAGAGCGTATATGCAGCATAAAAAAGAAAAATGAAAAATTTGAGCTTGCCCCTTCTGTCTGTTAACCTGAGGAAACTCCGTAGGTGAGATTTCCCTAATGTGTGGTTTTATTAAAACCTTAAGTTGTATCTGGCTTTTCTTCATTGAAAAAATAGATCTGTACATCCTTCTTTAATTACCAAGTACCTGAAGGTTATAAATTATTTTTTGCTTTACAAGTGTTTTTCACAGCACAAGCATGAGGTGCTACGAGTAAAGTAAAAATTAATGAATTCAGTCGAAGGTAAGAAAATACAAGGTTATTCTTGGTTAGAAGAGAGATCAACTGTGCTTTTGAATTTCACTGCAGATTAGTAGCGACAGCACACATCTCGAAGGATCCAGTGACAGTAGACACCGAGCAGCAAGCTGCTGAATGATTCTCATGACCAGATATTAACTCGGGGCTGCACTTCCGTACAGAGCACTTTTTAAACCATGCAGTCCAGGGGATTCATGCAGTGCATTATGATCTGTAGTCCTTCTTGCTGTAGGGCTTATTTCCCAGAATGTTATCTATTTCGTTTACGATATGGGATGTCATCTTTGGGAGGACCTAGGGGTAGGAAAAAAGAATTACGTTTAATCAAGCTTCCATTAATGGTTTTTCCCAATTTAAATCTAGATTTTTATCAAATAATGTTTCCTCTGGGGTTTTTTGTGTGTGACAGACATTTAAACATTCATCTAACACTTTTCTCCCTTATAGGAAAAACTGCTGTAGTATCTTTACTCTGTGAGAAAATCGCAGAAGTGCTCCTAAAATTTATATGCACGATACCGCTCCGCTGCGGCGGAAAGCAGGCTGGTGGCAAGAGCATCACTGTTGTGAAAAACAACAGAGAATAATGCGGGTGGGTGCAGGTGATGTGCCCTGCGGGAGACAGCACAGAATAGGTCACAGCGTGTCCTGGCATCGGGGCACTCGCTGTTTCAGATCCATTAGACCTGCTGATGCCACCCGCGTGCGGCTGGATGCGGCTGTAACTACCACCAGAGGCTGTAGTTACGGTGACGCGCCAAAAGGTTCGCTTGGTCAGTGTCCACAACTAGGACTGGAAGATGCCTGAAACAAAATCCGGGCTATTAAAGCTGTATGAGGAGGAGGGTGCTAGTCTCAAGGTATGCTGGTGTTGCCTCCAAAGGGGGGTAGGCAGTAGCTAACCCCCCCGCCCTTTGCCGAGATGCCTCCACCACCTGCACTTGCCTGTATGGCTCCGAGGTTCTCTATCAGCTGCTCTGGGTTGGAAGATCCTAGAAGGACGGAGCTCACCCCCTCGTTTCTCAGACACCATGCTGGGAATAAAGTCACAAGATGGTCAGGAACACAGGCTTTGTGACACGGCGTTGCTCCAGATCCTCGGGTTTGTCAGAGCTTGTATCTCTGACTACTAACGACAACGTTATTTGTCTCAGTCTTCACTCTGCTCCGCCGGCACTGCCGGGAAGATGCACGGGGCAGATAACAAACCACAACCTCAAGCTGTGCCAGGGGAGGTTGAGATTGCATATTAGGGAAAATGTCTTCCTGGAACGGGCTGTCAGGTGTTGGAATGGGCTGCCCAGGGAGGGGGGAGTCCCCATCCCGGGGGGGTTTCAGAGCCGTGTGGACGAGGTGCTCAGGGACACGGGTCAGTGCTGGGGTAATGGTTGGGCTGGGTGGGCCTAAAGGGCTTTTCCATCTGAAACAATTCCATGATCTAACAACCCATAAGGCACAACTCTTCCTGAACCTCAGGGAGTTGCCCTTCGCTCTACGAGGAGGCGAGCAAAGTGATGTGTCTGCGACACGAGCGAAGGGCGAGGGCATGGCAACGTCCGTCCCTGTCCCGTCACCTACCGACGGCCAGCTGAGGCAGCGTGCACCCGAGGCGCTCGGCGATGGGCGACAGGTCTTTCAGCTTCCCCTGCTGCTTCCTCCCTTCCTCGCTCACGATCTTCTCCTTCAGCCACTGGTAGCACTGGAGGTGAATTAGATTGCCATCGACTGTTAGCTTTAATCTTCCACGATGGGAAGTTTAAGGAATTATTAACAGCTCTGAAAAAGCCACATTCATCCCAGGAGGTAATTGAGGTTGAGTAACAAATGCATTGCTAGCCGAGGCAGTTACGACAGGAGCAGGATGTCTCCCGTGAGACCCTACGTCTGGATCTCTCTGCTTTTATGCAACTGATGGGCTCCGTCCAGAACCTGGAACTTCCTCAGTGTTTGGACCACTTGGTCCCATCACAGCATGGAAGAAAGTGAAATATCAGACAACTTGATAAGATTCTGAAACACCCCCACCCCCCCAAAAAAAGAAAAAAAGAGAACATCTAATCTTACTCAAGCTTGACTATTACCATTCAAGATTAGAAAATTAATTAAAAGAAGCTGAGATTTCAGTTCCCCCAGCTCCAGACTTGAAACTTGATTCTGCTTCATTCTCATCAATTTAACTTGGATCCCTCTCTGCAATGCTACCTGCTTAGCTACCTTTTACCAAATAATAACAACAGCAACATATTTTACTTTGGAAAAAAACCCCACAAATGGGATGAAATACCACATTTGGAAACGCTGCCCGTGGTAAGCAAGCCAGTGTTAGACTGCATCTTTCCTTTAGAAAGCACCAGGCTGAGCAAAAGGCAGCACGGGGAGGTACGTCAGTCTGCTGGCAGTTGGCAGGCGGCGTTGGCTTTTGCCGGCTGATAGAGAGCCTCAAATACCATTTTGGTTGGGGTTTTTTTCCCCAAACCCATGGCATTTTAATGCTCTGTCATTTTTCAAACCATTAAATAACACACCTGCCACAGGCACAGTATGGCAGGAGGTCCCATAACTCCCAAATAGAATAAGATCGAGATATTTGTGGGAGAAACCACGTGCTGTGGTGACACAACGCTAAATCTGTTAGAGGGGACCCACAGGCTTCACAGTCTGGGTCTGCCTGCCCATGGGGTCTCTGGGGGGATGCTGCAGGCTGCGCTTCCCCTGTTCCCGTGCTGCGCAGTAGGATGTCTGGACAGGGTGGGCAGAAAAATCACGTCCAAGCCTGGTTTATGCGCTGCGTGTGGTTAAGAGGTGCTGAAATCAATGGGCTGGGGGCATCAAATGGGCCAGAAACCCTGGGCTTGTGCCTTCTCCTTGATGATGGAATTGGAATGGGCTGCCCAGGGATGGGGGAGTCCCCATCCCGGGAGTGGTTTAAGAGCCGTGTGGACGGGGTGCTCAGGGGCATGGGTTGGTGGGGGGCTGGGCAGTGGTTGGGCTGGATGGGCTTAAAGGTGTTTTCCAACATGAACGATTCCATGATTCTGCGTCTGGGCAGTAACAGCATCCTTCTGCAGAGCCTGGCTCCAGTCCCGTGCTGCCCCACCACCAGCTCGCTGCAGTGGGCAAACCGAGGCATCTTTATCATCCAGATTCTCCTGCACTTTGGAACACGGTTGCCAGAGAAACCGAGCTGATGTTTCGGTGCAGCAGCACCCGGGCCAGCCTTCTCATGAGGGATCTGGTTTTCCTTTGTTATTTTCCTGCCCTGACAAAAGCAGCACATCTGCTTTTCTCAAGCATGCCACAAAAACCCGTACCTTTAGTGCAGCCCTTGAGCTTTCAGGGACCCCATTGCCGTATTTCCCTGAGATTATCCCACAGGCTAGCGGAGACCACGTCATTGCTCCAACCCCTGCGTGGAAACCAAAGGAGGAGATTAGTCATGAGACAGACACTTGTCTGTCCCCTTCAGATGTAGGGGAGGAGGGTGCTGTTCCCATTAGAGTCCTGGGCCAGCCTGCTCTGTCTCTCTTTCTGGGGGGTGGGAAAAAAAAAGGCACAGTGGCCTCAGACTCACCAATTTTGTGATACAATTCCGGCAGCTGAACCTCCACTTTCTCTCTTTGGAAAAGGTGGTATTCAGCTTGTTCACACACAGGAGGTATCATGTTAAACTGCCTGGCTACGGAGTAGGCTTCCTGGAGAGAAGAAAGCAGTAGATAAAATACTTCATTTAGTAAAAGCATCCTGTGGGGCATGAGCTCCAGCGCCCACCCTCTCCAGGAAGAATTTCTTCCTGATGTCCCATTCCAATCTCCCTCTTTCTGTTTAAACCCGTTACCCCTTGTCCTGTCACTCCCTGCCCTTGGGAAAAGTCCCCCCCAGCTTTCTTCTAGCCCCCCAGGCAC